GGGGGGGGGGGGGGGGGAGGCCCTGTGCAGGCTGCATGCGAATCGAGGGAGGGGTTGCTCAGTGTGATGCAAGCTCAGAAAGGCCAGGGAATTAGGGTGCGGGGTGCATGTGTGAGATCGCAGGGAGGCCATGGAAAGAGGGTGTGGGGTATGTGCATGCATGTATGTGTGTGTGTGATTGCAGGGAGGCCGAGCAAAGAGGGCGCAGGGTGCATGTGATCGCAGGGAGGCCATGGAAAGAGGGCATGAGGTGTGTGTATGCGAGTGCAGGGAGGCCGAGAAAAGAGGGCGTGGGGTACTGTGTGGATGTGTGCGATTGCAGGGAGGCCATGGAAGGAGGGCATGGGGTGCGTGCGTAGGGGGGTGTGATTTCAGGGAGGCCAGGAAAGAGGGTGCAGGGTGTGTGTGAGCAAAGGGGGAAGGCATGCACGGTGCATGTGAGGAGAGATTTACCCCAGTGACTTGCAACCTTGCTTGCTGACTTCCCACTGAATTTGCTTGGGAGAATCTGGCAGGGAAGATTGCAAATGGTGATCACATGATTGCAGGAAGCTGCAACTGGTCGTAAATGTGAGCTGATTGCCAGGCACCAGAATTTTGTTCACATGACCAGGGGGGTGCTGCAATGGCCGTCACTTTGAGGACCAGTTGTAAGTCCCTTTGTTCAGCACTGTCGTAATTTCAAACAGTCACTGAACGAATGGTCATAACTCAAGGACTACCTGTACTTGGTCCTCCACCATGGCTATAAGAGCAGCAAAATGTTAGTAATTTTCTGCTTATTATGTCCACAGATTGCTGTCCAGCAATCCTTTTAAAAGCGACCTAGACCTTATTGGGCAGAGACAGGCAGGAGAACCATGTAAGGGGTTGCTGTAAGGAATTTTCAGGGAGGATAAAGTCACTCAGATTCCTTCAGAGCTTGACATTAGCTAGGCAGGTCCAGTGGAGTTGGATGGAGCTTTGTTTTGTATGATCATCTGTGGTAATGTTGATGCTTAAATTCTGAGAAAGTGGCATCTGTAATCTGGATCCCTGCCATTTTTAGTTAATGAAAGCCTTCAGGGAATTGGATTAGAGTGATGGTGAATGCATCCTTGTGAGAGGGGGTATTACCAAGAGTACCTTAATATTTATTGTAGTGATGACGTTATATTCTGAGATTGGATTACCTTTTTTCTTACTAAAATAGCCTTTAATAACTTTCTGTGACATAAAATTGGCCAGAAGAATAAAGTTGAATTTTTTTCCTCAGGGAAGTTATTGCATGGCTCAGCTTCTTGTGTTGCCATCTTAACTGGAAGTACTGTATCAGGTATTCCTGCCTGAAGGAAGCAGTTGGGTGCCCCCTCCTCAAGAAGCCATAATTCAGCCTGGATGTACTCGACAATTAATCAACTTGTCTCCAAACTCACTTTTGGGGGGAAAGGTTGTAGAAGAAGTGGTTGGGCCCTGGAGGAAAGAGATTATTTGGACCTGTTTCAATCTGGTTTTCAAGCCCAGGTTTAGCATGGAGGTGGCCCGAATTATGCTTATAAATCATCTCTGGAGGGACCGCAGTAAGGGTGATGTAATCCTTCTGGTCCTGCTTGACCTGTCAGTGGCTTTTGATACTGCCAATCTTGGACTTTCTGAGCTGTCTCTGAAAGCTAGAAGTGGGGAAAATTGTTCTGTAGTGTTCTCTTCCTCCCTGAAGGGAAAGTTACATGTGATGGTAGTAGGGGGAGAGATCAAACCCAGGACCCTCAGTTGTGGGGTGCTATGAGGCTCAGTGCTCTCTCAACCTCTATTCAACATCTCCATGATAAAATCATCCATCAAGCTGGAGTCAGGATTCATCACACAGACAGACAGAAATTTTATTTTGGTCATTGACCAGTAAAAGGGATTCATCAGTGTATTGCTGATACTCTAATCTTATCCTCTGACTGAATAAGTGATAGTGTCAAAGTGGAGGTTGTCTGGGTCTAAATGGGAAGAAACAAATTGAGATCCAGTCCCAGCAAGATGGAGTGGCTTTGAGTTTGAAAGCTTACCATTTTACTATGATTCCAGTCTAAAGAAAATTGAACTTCCCCTGGATGGAACTGGTTCACCATTTATTTATTTAGAATTTAGAGGCTGCCCAACTCCATAAAGATTCTGAGTGGTGTACAACATTAAAAACAATAAAAGAAAAGAATTGTGTATGTCCAGAAGGAAAATATTCAGACTAATATATTTGGGGATCCTCTTGGACTCACAGCTCCTGCTCAAATATTGGGGAGTTGTACAGTTGTAATCAGCTGATTAGAAATATCCCCATGAATTTGAACCTCTGGAATAAGATTCCCCCCAAGATTCAAACGGCCTGCACCCTATTGGTATTCTGAAGGGCCCTGAAGACATGGTTCATTGTCCAGGCCTTTGGCAAGGACGATTGATGCCTCTTTCTTCCTATTCCTTGTTCCCATCCAGGTTTGTTTTTTCTGCCATCTGTGCCCTTTAGTTGTGTGTTGTTTTTGTGTTTTTGAATTATTCCTTGTTTTTAAATGTTTTTAACAATTTGTAAAACATCCTGAATTTCTGGGAGTCAGGCAGCATATACATTTAATAAATAATAATAATTAATTTGAGTGAAAAAAACCCTTTTTTATCTATACTAGTATGTTTCAGGAGAAACTTTTTTGAGTCAGAAAATTTGGAGAGATGCAAAAATTGCTACAGAACATGGACATATAAGATAGAAAGTTCTCTGCAGTTCCTTAATGAGGGAAGGATTTAGAGTTACCTCCTGAGTATAGATGGTGGAGTAGTAATCTAACCCATCTGAAAGCCATTAGGTTAGAGAAAATTGGGTTAGAGATTTTGGTGAGAAATAACATCTCTCTTGTGTTAGAGACCAAGATGTGAGAATAGATGGTGACATATGTGCTTTTTGAAGATCTGCTGCTAATATTCAGTGCTTTCTAGTATATTTTATATCTCTTTTGAAACTTGGAAGGATGAAGAAAAATCTCTAGAGAATTTTCTCTAGAGTTTGTTAGAAAAACATCCTTCTGGACCACCCCATAGTAAACAATATGAAAGTTGTTCCAGAACATGGGCTTCATGTGCTTGAAAAAATAGTAAAAATATAAAATATAGTAAAGTATTAAATTATTTATTTTATTTATTTATTTGATAATATCTGTTGGAAATGATCACTCAAAGCAGTGTATACAAGTAACATGTCTGCAAATATTAGAGTGTTACCAGTAGAGTGTTACCAGATGTCAGTAGAACTGGACAATAAGCTTAGTTCTGGAAGATTTTTTTTTACCACAGTGGTCTCAAAATTTTGGTTGGTGGTAGAGGAGATCTTAGGAATAATTACTACTTGTTGATGCTTGGTAATAAACATATAATAAGACATTAAGAGTGTGTCTTTTATATTGATTGCTTTTGCTAATCTTATTTGTTAAATCAATTTTCTCTCTAAGTGCTAGCTTCCACACTATTTTCTGATGGATAGTTCAGACAGTACTTCCCACTGCATGGCAATTTTCCTCTGAGTTGCCAACGGGAGAAAACAGAATGTGTTTGTTATCATCAAATACAAACAGTAATATCAGTTCCATTTAATATGTGGTTAGTTTGCTGATAACGTCTGCAATTATTGTGATAAGACCAAAATTCATATACTAAAGCATATTAGCCACCCATGTATAAGAGATCTTTAAGGCGCACCATTTCTTCCCAAGTTTCTGGCAATAATGTTTGTTCATATAACACAGTTTCATGATATAAAATATGCATAGTATAAAATATGCTGATATATTATCCTAGATTTTTCAGTAGGAACCAGTTATGAGAACCAATGTGGTGTAGTGGTTAAGGCACCAGGCTAGAAACCAGGAGACGGTGAGTTTCTACCTTAGGCACAAAGCCAGCTGGGTGACCCTGAGCCAGTCACTCCCTCTCAGCCCTAGGAGGGAGGCAATGGCAAACCACTTCCAAAAAACCTTGCCAAGAAAACTGCAGGGATTAGTCTAGGCAGTTGCCAGGAGTCAACACTGACTCGAAGGCACCCCCACCTCTCATTAGTGTATTCTTAGGCATGTTAGTTTTGCATGTGTTGATGTGTAAGCCTGATTGGTTCCATCTTGTTTCTGCAATAGTGTACACACAAATGTGTACTTCTGATTTTTCTTCCTGCAAAATACACATTTTTATTCCCATTGTAGTCTCATATAAACATTTCAGTACATATTTTGTTTTTATCTGGTTTAAATCAAGAATATACTACAATATTTGGAGAAATGCAGAAACTCAAAGGATAACTTTGTTTCAATACGAGAATCTTCTTGGAAATATGAATTGGGTTGGCTTGCTCAACAGTGATGATCAAATACAATTTTTAATTGTCTCTGCTTACAATAGAATTGAGCTTCTTCTACATTTCCCTCTCTTTGACTGTCTCCTTTTGGGGATTGTAAAAAGCATTTTCTGAAGATTTCCCCCTTTGCTAGTTCTTGAGAAGGGGAGAGAGTCCTCCATCAGCCATATTGATTTCATCCTTCTGTGATGAATGCTTAAGTCACTGCTTATACCAAGTAATTGGATTATTGTTTCTCTGGAATCTTTTCACGTCTGTAAATATGTTGCTCTGTGCCTTCATGCATAAATTTATCTCCCCCCTCCCCTTTGAAGAATAAATAGGAAACATGAATCTGAAGTGATCTTCTAGACCACCTGTTTATTTTATTATTTATTTATTTTTTAGCATTAAGTGGTTTTTCTCTTTCAGTTGTGAAAGCTGCGTGGACCTGCTGTTTGTTCGGGGAGCTGGGAATTGCCAAGAGTGTGATACCCCTTTGCGGAAGAGCAACTTCAGAGTGCAACTCTTTGAGGACCCAGCTGTTGACAAGGAGGTGGAAATCCGTAAGAAGGTGTTGAAAATGTAAGTATCAGAAAACCCAAAGTAAAAGAAGCCACCTCTTTTTTCTGTGTGTGTGTGTGTGTGTGTCCAAATTCATTTTCGCTGTGTTTGTGAAAAGGGTTTGTTTAAAATATTTGCAAAATATTCTTATCTTGGATCTCAGAATACTGTACATGAAGATAGTGTTTTGTGGAGAAAAAAACCAATATTCTGTTCTTCAGCTTTTTGTTACAAAATAGAGTACAGCAATGCACAGAAACAAAGAAACAAATGCTACTGATTTGTGTATGTAATATTGCACATGTCGATACTTCAGGCAGGGAGCTTCAGGTCTTTCCCCTAGTTCTGATGTGTTGGGTGTTTTAAAAGCTTGATTGTTAAATTGTTAGCATGAATACATTTTAAGGTAAAGAAACTCCTGAAGGCAACCTGAATGAGTATGTATATAAATGTACACATTTAAAATTGTGTTTTAACAAGCATTTGTAGAACATTTTTAAAATACAGTTTGTCCAGCTTGACTGGCATAAATATAGTGTTGGGATTATAAATCTGTAAATTTTAAAGGCATATTTATGCACAATATTTTTAACAGAATAAACAGAGTTTGGCAATTCATTTTCTTATTTCTTTGCTTTCATATCTTTATACATTTTCCTTCTTCCTTTTCTCTGATATTTCTTTAGTATCAAACTTAGATTATAGGCTCCTTGGGACAAAGACTTGTCCTGCTATACTATGTAAAGTGCCATGATATTATTCACCATCTCAGCACTTTCGGTTCTTCTGAAGAGTTTTATGGAAAGAGTTATTATATGGGATTAGCTGAAAAACAATTTTAACAACCAAGTTACTGAGCATAAAAGCTAGTAAGAATGGTATTTTTACTTTTTTTCTTATTGCTTTTTAGCTATAAAACTTCCCATAGCCATTTACAAATATGCGACATTACCTGGCCTCAGGCTAATATGATCTTGTTCAAGACATATTGCCTTTAAATAAAATGTTGCACTTAATTCAAATTATAGTTTTCTTAGATCTTTAGATCCTTTATCTGTTTGTCATTGCTCTATTTTTTTGACTTTGGGGAATCATTTTTTATTAGCTGCTGACTCACTCAAGGTTCAGAAAGGATCAGTTTAGGTAAATTCTAAGTGCTTGGACTTTCAGAAAGGATGATGAAAGAATGTCAGAAGTTTGTATTTTTGAATGCCCAGATGTAATTCTATTGTTTTTTCTATATGTCTTTTTACAAAGATACAATAAAAGGGAGGATGACTTCCCCAGTTTAGTAGAATACAATGATTTCCTGGAAGAAGTGGAAGAAATTGGTAAGTTCTAATGTGTGCATATTTGATGCCCTGCACATTTTTATTTCCTGCCAGCCTCATTGAACATTACAGCTGAGCCTCTCTTCACTGATCTTTATTGGAGCACTCGATGATTGGCTAATTACTTTCTCCTTGCATTTTTAATCAAGAGCTTTTCAATTGGAGGGATGTATCTGAGTAATAAATGTTTCTAGCTGTCACAGTAGGGATGGGTTGTGGGATGGTGGGAAATGTGTGCAGCAAATATGGTTATAAAAATGCTTTGTAAGTGATTGTTGGGACTGCAAAAAAAAAAGCTCAAATAAAAGAAAAGGGGGAAGGAGTGCCATTCAGTTCTTAATCTTTGCTTCCATTGTCTTTATTCACCATGACAGAAGCCATATGGCCCCCCTTTAATCCTCTTGCTACTTCAAGTACAGTAGCTGGGAGGGCTTGAAACGTTTGACCTTGCATACCATTTTGGCAATGTATTTATGGGCCTAATGCAGAGGGGCAGAAGTTAAAGAGCAAGACTGAATCTGCTTCTTTTTCCCTCTTTGTTGGATTTCAGGCCTGCAGATGCTATGGCCTGGGGCCTGTCCCATTTTGATGGGAATTGTAAGATAACATTCACATTGGGGAATGTTGACCTAGAGGATTGGGTGGGAAATAGGATCACTCTTGCATTGGAGACCAAGGTGTGTTAATAGGGGAGAGATATATGTGCTTTTTGAGGTCTTGTTAATATTTAATGCCTTCCCTCTATTTATGGTTATACTCCAGTGAGCTTTTAGTGTAGATGTTTCAACCTAATCCCCTTCTCCTTATCCTGCACAGCGGTTCTCTGAAGATAGGTAGCCAGATATGCATGAACTTTGGGGCCTTGTGCCCCCAACTCCACTCTCTGAGAAATCCTCTGGAGCCATCATTTCTTGCTTTTCTACCTGGGCATTACAGTTTTGTTGTTCCGGAGGATATTTAACATTGGTTTTCTATTATATTTTTACTCATTTACTCTGTCTGTCTGTCTGTCTGTCTGTCCGCCCATCCGTCCGTCCGTCCATCCGTCCATCCATCCGGCCATCCATCCATCCATCCATCCATCTATCCATCTATCCATCTATCCATCTATCCATCTATCCATCTATCC